TGCAGCGCTCCCCCCCCGGGCCGGCACGAGGAAGCGGTGCCGGAGCTGTGAGGGACAGGCTGTCAGGAAGAATTTGGTTAATTGGCACTCGCTGTCTCCGGGATGCGTGGCACTGAGCCAGGAGTCATCCGAGGCGATGGTGATGGCAGGGAGCCAGGGAGAGGCTGGGGGCCCCCCGAGGCGGCCGGCGCCCGGGGGGGGGGGGGGGGGGGGAGCCACACCGGCTGCAAAGCCGCGGCTAACTGATTTTTCCCTTTCCGTCTCTAAGCCTTCCAGCGCGCCAGCCCAACTTCAACACGGCCGTTCGCATCATGGGTTGCGTCACATCCTTGCCAGAGGTGACAACCAACACCTGCTCATGACAAACTGCCTATTAAGTGGCACGCCAGCAGAGTGACTGGTGCCACCCCGAAGGCTTTGCTCTCGACTGGCACAGCAGCAAGCTCTTAGCTAGGGGTGCGCGGGATAACTCACATTCGAGGACCCCGCTCTGAAGAAAACTCGCAGTGGAACACTATTATCACTCGTTTGTTCTCCGATGGCTGGATTGGCTTCTTAAGCAAGTAGTCTTCCACGTCCTCTTCCATATGGAGGTTTACAGCACCCTGTAAAGGCAGAGTCACAGCCGAGCCCACACGGTGAGCGGAGGAGAACAGTTACAAACCCATCCCACTTCCTCGCAAGCTGTCTCCTCATCTTCGCTTCCCAGGAGTTCTGCCAGCCCTCTCCAGCCATTGGGAACACGGCTTCAAACCCAAGCAGGACGTTACAGATAGCCTAAGGCTGACTCTGGGCGACCCGGACCTGTTTCAGGTGGCCATTTCACCAGCTGTAGGTTGTGGCTCGCTGGATTTCCCTTCCCATCCCGTCGTGTTTGAGAGGGCCAGCCGGCTTGCTCAAGCAGCAAACCTCAAGGCCAATTATGTTTGCGCTACCGTTTGAAGTCTGTGGTTTAAACAAAGTTTAATATTCTAATTTTAGCTTCCCTAGATCTCAGGATGCTGGACAGCGAGTGTCTGACATCATCCTCCGGAACCCTTTCTCTGCTGGCCACACAGGCCACCTCCTCTGCTTAAGGAAAGCGGAACGCTCCCTCCTTTGAGGGAAAAGTCACTTTATGAACCAAGTGCAAGCTCAGTCTCCCGAGATTCCGGCAGTGCGTAGGCGTAACAGGATCCCAGACCCCAGGGGGGCACTTGGGCATCTCGGCTCTAACAGATCCACACGGCCTCGGATACAGAGCAGCCCCACGTGGTGCCAAGTGACCCCAGTCTGCAACTTCAGACAACTCCGCGTCACTCCTACGGGGTCAACATACCTTGATGTGTCCTCCTTCATACTCATACGGGTATCTACAATCGATTATCACGCACTCCTTGATGAAGCTGGCAAACTTCCCAGTCAGAACAGACACAATCTGCAAAAAAAGGGAGTTCAGTTGTTTCAAGATGTTTTTGCGTTGGCTTCTCCCCCCCTCCCAGTAAAGAATTCTTCTATTGTCCCTGGAACACATACCATTTCCGAGTCGATATATTTTAAATCTTGATGCTTCCCATCGACAGTGTGGAATAAATAACCCTAGAAAACAGACAGCATTTAACTGAGAAAATTCCGAGTGTGAGCCGCACCGGGATAGCGCGGTGCTCAGCAGTTAATTTTGTAACGCGGATGCTTCGTTGTCAAGAATCTCTTCAGCAAAGCTCAAGAGTTAAAACTAAGAATTCTGAAATTCAGGGACAGAATTTTATTTCTTGCTCCTGTACCAAAGGGATTTTGTACATCTTTTTGAACAACCACAAGTGAATCACTTCATGTCTAAGGCATGAAAGCACCCTTCTCACCGACAGCCTTGACTAGGAATTCGCATATTTGAATATGAGTACTGTTAAAGACGGGAAGTGCTTTACTCGGGCTGGTTTGAGACATCTCTACCGAAAGAGACCGTTAAAACAAATCGCTTGAATTACCTTTGAGAAGTCACCGATAAGATCTCTCTGGTCGCTGTCCAAAATGCTTTCGATCTCTGCTGTGGAGGATTGCGTCCCTACTACCTTCAAACTCTAGAGGAACGCAGGTTAGAGATCAACGCCGAGCACTGGCAGCAGAGACCCCCTTTCCCAGAGCGTAACAGAAAACTCAGGGTTTACTCTGAGGCCCTGAACCACAACTCCCCAGATTCCCCTTTGGATTAAGGCAAAAAACTCAGGCTCAAGAGTACGCAACTACTGCACCAGCTCCCCTAATCCCCTACGCTATGCACAGGGGATGCAGGCTTGCTAGGTCAGCAATTCACCCAAAAAAGCTCTCTCGTTAACCTTCATAAACTCGACACCTATATTCGATCCTCTCCTCATCAATTCTCTGTTACAACATCAGATGCCAAGCCACCAACCATTGCATCCTCAGAAGGTGTTCCAGGCAGGCTTTTCCTCTTCTTGCTTTTCCCTGGAGAATTCTCTTCCTGCGACCTCTCCGTCCTCTTCTGGGTGGTTCTTCCTACACCACTGGGCAGAGATGAAGAGCCAAACAACCGGCATCGTTTGGCCTACGAGGAAGGAGAGAAGTTAGAGTTGCCCAGCAAAGACTGAGATTAGAAACTAAGCAAGCCTCAGACTTTCAGCCTATTACAAACTTTGCCTTGTACCAGACACTGCTGCTGCACAGCAACAGCGGGATGGCAGCAGGGTTGTCTAAACTCAGGCCCTGCATTTCCAGTAACACTTATTTCTTGCTGTGTGGACTGGGTGAGCCGGGAGCACCATAAGCAATACGATGTGCCAGCAGAGTGCTTTATCTCAATTAGCAGACAATCTATCAGCAGATTAAGGAGCTTTTTGCTGGAGTCTAAACTCCCTTCGCAGTCTGTTATCAGAAGATAGGGCTACAGGCATTCCAGGTAAGTCTGTGCCAAACGTATTCAAGATATGTCCCCAAGCATCTGATAAGGGAAGTCAAGATCTCCCTGCGTTTATGAAGTGTTTTTGTAAAAAAGAAAAGTTAATGCCTATATTCGCACACAACAAGCATTGTTTCACACTGACAGTCTTCCAGGGAAACAGGCTTTAGAGATAACAGAATACTGGAGGGGGTTTATGCCACGTCTTGGTTTGTTGTTATTAGGGACACAGTGCGATCGCTTGTCCCAGTAGTGACAACGGCTGCCAGAACAAAGTCCCCGCCTCTGTTCTGTTGTGCTCTGCCAGAACACTCACCCGATTGTCTGTTTTCCTCATGACTAGTGGTGCAGTCCAGAGGCTCGCCACATCAGATGGCATCTCCTCATCGTTCTGAGGAAAAAAGAAAGGTCATTCTCATCTATTTCACCGTGGGCAGACCGTAAATATCTCAGGCAAACATTCCAGTTGAAAACTGCTCTGGCAGCTGAATTAGGAATTTAACTCAATTACTAGCCCAGTACTCAATGAAATAACGGAACCGAGTTGGGACACGTTGGAGAAGGTAAGTTACATCAATTCATTGATTGATTAACAATGATGTTCCTCCAAAGCTTTAAGCATTTCAAATTCAGTTAGAAACGGGCTTCTGTTTAAGCGGCTTGAAAGCAAATACCACCTCTAGCTCTTTCAGCAAGTTGCTAAAGGAAAATGCCAACTGTTCAAATAATTCTCCCCAGTAACGCAATTTTCATCTGCCAACAGGAATAGCAGCAATTCTCGGACTAACTGCTGTTCGCACCCCACGTAAATCCCGTCGTCTGCACTAGGAAAGAGCACGTATAAGATAGAGACGCTGAAATACAAGAGTTGAAAACGATAAGGGTTTTCCCATCCATCTTCGAGGATTCCCTGGCACCTGGCTTTTTGCAGTTTGACTTTCCACACTGACTTCTGCTAGGACACGCGTGCACCACCGACACATATCGCTGGCAGACTCTTAACAGCAGACAGAGCTGATCTTGCAGTCTCCATCGTGTTTCCTTTGCACATACCTTCAAATCTTGCTCATCTAGCAGCTCTAGGAATCCATCATCATCTTCACTTTCAGAGGAAGTCAGAGAAGAGTGCGGCAGGAAAGCTGGCCTGTAGTTCTCCTGTTCACCCGTGGGCATTTCACCAGTGGGAGACTGCGACAAGACAGTTAGCTCTAACAACATTCCTCCTCTTTACTGCAGGGTGCCGTAACCACAGAGATGATGCCGTGCCTCTCACCGCACTACAGAAAACACGGTGGTTATTCCACCGCCTTGAATACACTGACGTGAGCAAACCCCAAACCGAGTTCCAATACTTTTCTTTGATCCTTACAACGGCAGAGTGCTTCATTAGCCTCGTTAAGCAATAACCCTCTTCTCTGGAAGAAGCTATCCAGTGAAGGCACAAAGGAGAGAAGTGGGTGGTGTCAATAGGAACAAGAATTAATATAAACTCGGCAGCTGATAAGAACAAGATCAAGAGTACGAAGCAGGATGAAGGACTACCAGATTCAAGGAGCAGAGACAAGACTTAGCCCCCGCAGCTCGGTTTCTGTGCAAGGACCCATCATGTTCTTTCAGTTGCTTTTTCTAAGCAATAGGATATGAAAAAGGTAGTATTTTCTTCCTGCCTGTCATGTCTGGGCATGAGATTCAGGTGCATCTACAGCTGGCTTCGCTATCCCAAATGCATCTGCCCCAATATAAATATCTACTTTACTGAGCATGAAAACCATTTCCAACGAGCTCCCTCTATTCCACATCGCTGCCCGCACTCCCTGGACTCACTGCAGCATAACCTCAGCTCTGTATTGACTAATCTCTCACAGACTACAGAACAATCCATGTTTCAAACTTCTGACCATCTCACGAGCCATACATGAGCAGAGTTTTCTTATCTGGCAGATAGATGAGTTTTTTTCTATTTGGCACATGAATAGCGGTGATTAACAGCATTGTCTTAGAATCGTGATGCAATTTTTCTTCCTCCCAGACCGCAGGTATGCAGAGGATTAGGTGAGAATTAGTTGTAAAGAACACTCAACTACTTACTATCTGAGCTGGAGATGAATTCTGCCTTGGTCCAGGAACACCTTTTCCATCACGGGAATGGACATGCACGGAGCTACGAGAAGCTGGTTTGGTTGGCTTCTTAAACTCAAACGATTCCTGAATTAAAAGAGGAGCAAAGCGATCATTTTACCAAAACTACAAACTGTGTAGGTTGTAGGATCATTTTCTCTGTTTAGTTTTTTTTTAAAACTACCTGACGTTTTAGATTTAAGTTCCCTGCTGCCAAGGGGAATAGTCTGAAGGCAAATGTTTTCAAATTAAAGGTGTTACAATAGCGATTCATTTAACATAACCAAGCTTTTATCCTCTTGATATCACCTACAGGCTTAAGGCTTTTCTATTTCTTTCGTCAGTCAACTTCTCGGCAAAAGAAATCATTGCTAAAGGCAGCCAAGGCTGTCTCCCGACGCCCGCTCTTCTGCGGAGACCTGTCGGAGTCCTACCGACAGGATTTCCAGCAGCAAGGCCTTCCAGACCAGGTAGGAAAAGGACATTTGTGCTGTGAGGAAGCAGGGCTCCCCGTGCCAGCAGGGGAACGAGAGGAGGTGATCTATCCAAACAGCTTTCTGGAGGCACCCCTCGTAGCTCTCTAAAGCTAGCAGTATGGATACATTTTCCCTTGCCACAGCCTAAGAGGAGTCAGGTTCGGTAGCACGCAGGTAGAGCTGCGCAATCAAAGTCTTCCAAATTTTTATTAACCTATAATCAGTTTGCAGTTGCTATAATCAGTGCTGTCACACTTCACTGCAAGTTCCCCCAAGATAAGCTACGCAAAACTTTGTAACGTCTGAACTACAGAAAGCAACACTTACGTTCTCCTTATTTTCTTCTTGTTCCAATAGTTGAAAAGCATCGTTATCCAGAGAATCAGAATGGCTTCTCTTCAGAGCAGGACTGCATCCCAGGAGGCTTTGCTACAACGTTCGTACAAAAGTGCCAGTTCAGTATTGCGCAATATAGCTTTTGCACAACTACATTTTAAGGAAAACGGGTTAATAAAGGCTGTAAGGGCTCCGACTGCAAATTGGCGCAAACTATGTACTATGTCTTTTGTGCCGACATCTCGGTACAGGTACCAAAATGCTTCGACTGCATTAGTGACAAAGCCCCATCACTGCAGTTTCACGCTAACTTCAATGAGATTTTGCGTTTACAAGCTGTAATTTTGACAGTTTTCATTAAGTACCACAGCAGCTGTTCTTGGAGACAGAAAATTAACAAGTTATGGAACGTATCCAACTAAAACCACTTAACACCCTAAATCCTTTCACGTTTATACAACACCGGTACCACCCTCACTTACTGGCAGCGAATGTATTCTTCTGAAAGGCATTCGAGTGCTACAATGAAAAAGAACCAAGATTTATTTCAACATTTTGTTTTAAAAGACAGTAACATGAGTAGAACTCGCTCCCCCCCCCCCAAAACTCCATAAGCTACAACAGTCGCTGACAAAGAAGTGAAAATAGAAGTATACTTACTTCAGTCTGCTGGATTCAAGAATTGCTTTCTCAAACCTAAAAGCAAGCGAGATGCCCCACAGTTAGCACCGAGGGATAGCGCACTAAAAATCAACCTCGTATTTAAGTCGTGGAGTGGCATGCTAAGCAGAAGCCAGCATGCTTCTTGATGACACTTTGTCTTTCTCAAAAGCTATTTATAGCCAGCTTATCCCATTCTAGTTTTTGAAACACTAGCTAGACTCCTTCTCCCCCTCCTTTCCTTAAATTCTTTTCAGCATTGTTCAGACAAGAAGCTAGGTTAAAGGAAGAAGAGCCCAGTCAATCAGAGACCAAGGGCATCCATCCCCCATCCCTGGGGACAGAAGATTAGGAAAAGAAAAATAATCCAATTGAGAGCGGGAAATTCAAAGCTAAGAGCAACCGCCTGGTATCAGTTAAGGCATATACAAGCATCAATTATAATTTAAACGTTGAGCAAAAACTGCAACAATTTGGTGCAGCCTCAGGCTCCCGGCAAGGTGCCGATGTCGTGCTCAGACAGACTGGTTGGTACAACACATTCACTCAGACCCGAGACTTGTTAAGTGCTCGGGGACACAGACACGACAGAGCCTCGCATCTCCAGCTGCGGAGCACTGCAGCACACGCCTCGAGACGGTTAAGAGAGAAGAGCCCACTGCACACGTGCCAGCAAAGGGAAAGCCACCTCAAGCCTCTCATTAGCCTACGTTTGTTAACGGCGCAACGTGAAATGCCAAAGTCAGGCTTAGCATATGGTTACATACGTTTCCTCCATGATATCGCTTGAGGTTGCAGGACCAGGCGAATCCAAAGCACAACCTGCAGAGGAGAGACAGCGTTTTCTACCGAGTATTATCTAGGAAACACGAAGCATTGGACACTGCTACAGATTTCCTCAGAAAGACCCTGAGCTCAGACAGCAACCTAATGTGGAAAGTCCCATCTGCAGCCTCACCTTAGCGTAGGAGTAAATAAGGTACAGATACTCCATACCGTTGGGTTTGGCCATAGATAATCAGGTGTTGGTGCTTGGGGAAAAATAGGAGTAATTAAAAAAAGCCCCCCTAGCCCTGCCTAGAATGTCATATAGAAGAGAGCGCTGCCACATAACATGGAATACTCTTGGCTTATTCTCTCACACACACATCTTAATAAACAACTTAGTCCTTTAGGGTGTTTTAAGCCATGTTTTTAGTTACACCTCTTTGTAGGAAAAAATTTTGGGGTCGTTCCAAAAAAAAAAAAAAGTAGTCAAAAGGCCCTTCTTAATGCATGCTAGTGTACTGGAAATAACAGCAAGCGCCCCATAAGCGCAAACCAAGTGAAACATCACAGCTACATAGCATTTAAGTACAGTCAAATACGAAGCTTACTTAAACACAGATTCCCCAAGGAGTTTTTGCATTGCGGTAGTAGTCACAAGCCCTAGGGATCGGCTGACAGCTTACCAGAATACACACTATGCCATCATGACAAGACTTGTTGCTACTTCAGCGACTGTGATCTAAACAAACAACTACAAAGAATTAATTTGACTAAGATGACAGGTAGTGGTCTCGGCACAGCAGAAACCTTCATCACGAGTGTTTTGTAAGCACTTAAGGCCTGCTTTGGAGACAGGAAAAAAAGAAAAAAAAGACAAGAAGAAAGTGGAGATTTAGCAAGCTTGGTTATTCTATCCCACTCCGTGGGTTTACGAGCTATACACGCATTTTAGCGGTTCGTAAAGTTCTTTTGAAGGCTGAAAGCACCATGCACCATCAGACTGGTGCATAAATTCAGATGGAGACACTGATTTCCATCGCTGGGCTGGACCAATGAAGTATCAGAAGCTTCCCTGATTCCACAAGTTATGGGGTAATAGCTTACTTCATTTTCGCTTATAAAACATCTCATCTGAACAAAAAAAAAAAAAAAAAACAAAAAACAAAAAAACAAACTTCTGGCCAAGTATCAGAACTAAGATGCAGCTCCCCAGGTTTCAGATAAACAATCAGCTCATGTTAACAAAAAGGCACCAAAAAAAAAAAAACCCAACCTCAAGCCACAAGGCAAACCCTCCTCAACAGCCTTGATTCGAGCGTGCAGAGCAGGTCAGCACAGTTTGGGTTTAAAGAGAGAAACCACATGGTGACAACTTGCTTTCATCAAAGTTATCGCCCTCCAAAGGGCAGAAACTCCAACCGGCCCCATTCAGAGCTGAACGCAGATATGCAACGGATCCTAACAATGAAGGACGAAACACTATCTCCCAGTTTTCCAGACCACAGCCCCAACACGCAACTATAAACACTCCCAAGCCAATATCTGCAAGACACCCCAGACCAGAGAATGGTGGGAATCCAATTCACCAGCGAAGCCTATCTTGGGCTATCTTCAGCAGCCTTCATCTTCAGCCGTCTCTACTGCAAGAAAGGCTGATAGACTCCCGATAAGGTGTTGACCTACTGCCATGTACAGAGCAGAACATCAAGGCAATCAGAAAATGGCAGTGATAAACATCATGCTGGAGTACAAAGCATGACAAGTCAGCAACCACGTCTAACAGCCATCCTAAGAAAAAAGGAAAAAGCCATCTCTGCCAGAGTCCCCCTGGGGGGGCAGAACCAGTTTTTCCTTCATGCTAGTTCTACTGCGAAGGTACTCCAGGACAATTAAAGCAAAAAAAAAAAAACAAAAAAAACCCACCCACAATCCAAACCGCGAACTGCAGAAGCTTGGCGAGTGATGGTTTGCCTGCCTCCCTCCTTCCAAGAGCGTGAGAATAAGAAGTGGCTGCGGGGACCGCAGGCAGGCAGCACTAGTTCTCTATCCAAACTGCTTGCAGTGGAAGCCACGTAAAGATACGATGCCTTTCATTTCTTCCTTGTTATTTATTAACTGAGAAAGCCGTACCTGAGTCTGTTGATTCCGATGACACTGTTCTTTGTAAACCGTTAGTATTCTTGTTTCCCAGATCTTGCTCAGCGTTTTCGTGCTGACTGTAAAGGAAGTTAGGTATTTGTTTTAAATGCTGATCGAAGCAAGAAATACAGTACAGGAGTGCCTGAAGGGAGATATACAGCACAGGTAATCGTAACCTGAAACCTTTGTCATCGGCCACACCAGCTTCAGGTTTTGGGTTTGTTTTTTTAAACCTGCACATGCAGCGCTGGTAACATTAGAAGTTAGGCTTCCGAAACAGAGATGGGGAGTGTCATTTAAGATAACCGTTCTGATAGCCTTTCTGGTCACCTTGCACCAAATCACCAAGCTTTTCTCCATGACATACTGTGAGGGGTTCTTTGAAATGTTTTAGAGCCTGTGCTGAGCTTGTGCCTTCACAAACGAAGGTTCTAATACAACAAAGTGACAGACCTTGCAATAGAACTTCAGGACTAAAAACTCTTTAAATGTGCAGTAGGATATCGGTGCCTGGAATCACATCAGCACCTCCCAAACCATTCTCTAGAAACGCCTATATCAGAGCCCCATTATCCTTCTTGGGACCGCAACCCTCTTTGGCAGCCGCGCATTTAATTATTGTTTTGCATAGAAAAAGTACCCAACTTCTAACTCAAACTCATTTTTATAAGTAGTTAGCTCTCAAATTTTGTCTTACAACTAAGCCAATTCTTCTCTGCTCACATAACCATCAGACCAGTCTAAATCACTCTGCAGAAGGGGCTGGAGGCATCCAGAGCCCGACTGATTAACACCAGCCCCTGACCTGACGCCGGTGCAAGTACAAACGCTGCTCTGCGAGCAGGCAGGGAACCTCCAAGCAAGCTCTCCTGCCCCACTGCTGAGCTGCATCAGGCACGCACTCGTTTCATACGTGGGCAGGGGTCACGGCGGCTTCAATACACAGAGGTGTGCATATCATATGTAGCCCTCCTCTATATTACCCTAAATAAGGGAAAAGCTACTTGAGCGTGGCTCCTCCATCACATGGGTTAATTAAAAAAATGCGCCAGGGCGCACGCTAGGGCTACAAACTCAAAGGACAGCATAATGAACGTGGAGGGGACGGGTGACTGGTGCGAACCGTTTACAGGAATTCCAGGAATCTGAAGGAGGGAAGGATCATACAGAAAGCAGGTGATTACAGAAATGAGAATGATATAAAAACAGCACACAAATGACAAATACCAGGAGGGCCATCAGGACCAGAGAGCAAGCCAGGGCAAAACAGGAGCCATACAAGAGACAAACTGTAAAGGTTACTGTAGAAATAACAAGACGAAGGAGTTAGAGACTAGTAACAGCAAAATTGGATTGAGCAACTGCACGGTTATGGGGAGAAAGGAGCGGCAGAGCCCCAGGACTGCAGCATTTTCCATATGTGAAACAGTAAAGGGAGGAGGGGTGGGCAGGAACAGGGTGAGGGTGCACATGGGGAGAAAGAAGGGGCTGAGATGATGCAGCTAACGTGGCGTGGAAGGCAGGAAGGACAGACACAAAGGTACCGGCATTAATTTGTGGGAGAGGTGAAAGCACCCAGTCCTGGGGCCAGGCACAGGAGCGAGGTGGATGCCCAGAGCAGAAGCAGGGGAAGATGGTGGCACATGGTGGGACGCTGCAGGGGGAAATGGCCCACAGCGCAGGAGCCAGCCGCATGTGGGCAGGGGAGCAGGGGCTCCCGTGGGGCAGAGCGGGGGAAGGCCCAGCCTCGGGGCTCCCTAGGGAGAAAGGGGCAGCAGAGAAGGGGGCTATTTGGTGGGAGAGGGGGAGGCCCCGAGCAGCAGGAAGGAGGGGGAGAGCTCTGCAGGGGTGGAAGCATCAGGAAAGGGGGGGGGTAAGGGAGTCGGGAAGGCCTCGGTTTTGCAAGGGGCGCATAGGAAAAAACTCCTCGAGGCCTCGGTTTGGGGGGGGGCGAGGAGAAACAGCTCCTCAAGGCCTCGCTTTTTTGGGGGGAAGGATAGGAGAAGAGGTCCCCGAGGCCTCAGTTTTAAGGGAGGGGAGTGTTTGGAAGGAGAGAACGGGGGGGGGGGGTCCTCAAGGCGTCACTTCTGGGGGGAAGAAGGAGATTAAGAGAAGAGCTCCTCAAGGCCTCGATTCGGGGGGTGGGGAGGGAGAAGAGATCCACGAGGCCTCACTTTTTGCGGGGGGTGAGGGGAGAGGAGGGACTGGAGGGTTTGTGAATTTCTGTGCTTTTTTTTTTTTTTTTTAAATAGGGGGGGGAGAAGAGCTCCCCCAGGCCTCGCTTCGGGGCCGGAGGGGGGGAGAAGAGGCCCTTGAGGCCTCGCATGGCGGGGAGCTCCCGCAGGCCTCACTTCGGGTCCGGGAGGGAAGAAGCGGGGGGAATGGGTCCTCGAGGCCTCGCTTTTGGGGTTTTTTTTTGGGGAGGAGAGCATGGTAGAGGCCCTGAGGAGGAAGCGGGGGGTGCCCCGGCGCTCAGCAGAAGGGGCCCCCGCTTTGACTGACCCGCGTCCCAGCTGCTCCATGGTGAGGCGGAGGTCGGAGATCGGCGAGAGATCGGCGGGAAAAAGAGACTTGACCACGGCGGGTGAAGCGGGGGAAGCCGGGGAGAGAAGGAGGAGGCGGCGGCGGCGGTAGGAAGAGCCCGGTGTGGAATCCATGGAGCCGAGCCGAGCTGAACGCTCCCGCCCTCCTGTCAGCGCGGCCCGTACGGCTTTGACCCCAGCCGCTACCCGTCGCCCGCTCCGAAGCTGGCGCCAAACTCCCCCTCCACCAATCAAAACCCTTCTTTGCGCGACGTTTGAAAGGGGCGGGTGTTTTTCCTCAAATCTCCCCGCCCACCGCCCTCGTTCTGACCAGTAAGAACGGCCGCGGCCACCTCATTCCCCGCCTCCAACTGTTGCTTGACGTCGCTCCCGCCCAAT